GCTGGCCCCAGAGGTTCACTTTTTATAGAGCTCTAGATGTGGAAGCCACGTGGCTGGGGAGCTGCTCTGACTTAGGGGGTCCCAGTTCCCCCCATTAACTTGTTGCCTAAAAAGCATAGGAAAGTTGCAGTTTCTGCCCTTGAGAGGCTGTATGACAGAACTTACATATCACTTTGCTGCCTGAAATTCTTTCTGGAATAGGGCAATGTATAAATACATAAACACGTATCACTTTCTGGAATTTAAAGTGCCATTTCCTTTGATAGCAACAGCAGCAGGGGGAGAGGTATCTTCGTAGTCATCCCACACCTTCCCCACTCTCCTCAGGCTTATCCTCAGTCTATACCCCTCAGTTGACCACAGATAACCTTGCCTCCGCCTTCATCAGGAAATCGAGAAGACATCAGGTGTGAAGTCCTCCGATGCCTGCCCCTTCCATCTATACACAGCTGTATTTACCTCTTAGTCTCCTGTTTCAAAGGATGAGGTGTCCTTCTGCCTCTGCCTGTGTTCTCATCCCCTCCCGTCTCCTTCAAAACGTTGCCTCATCATTTATTGTCTTTCTCTCCTGTTTTCTGCAAAATTACTCCTTTACAGGCTCCTTTCCCTTTAAACATGCTTGACTCACTCACATCCTAAAATACGCTTCCTCTGATTCTGCATCTTCTAAGGATCCCCTGGTCTTCCTCACATTTCCATTTGGTCCCATTGGGTTTTCTTTTCTTATGAAACCCGGCTCCTTTGGCTTCCATGGAGCATTAATTTCCAGGTTCTCCTCCTACCTCCCTTTCTCCTTTGTGGGCTCCTCTGTCCCCTACCCTCATCTCAATTGTAGGTGTCTCCTAGGGATCTGTGCTCACTCCTCACTTCTTATTCTACGTACCCCCATGGCTCCAAACACTAGCTCTGTGCCGACAGCTCCCAAATCTATCTCTGCTTCATTCCTCAGATTCTCTAGATCCAGCTACCTGAGGGACAGCTCTGCCTAGATGGCTCTCAGATACCTCAAGTTGAATGTGTTCAGATCTGAACACATCATCTTCCCCAAGCCTGCTTTTTGTCCCGTTCGCACCAAGTGATCATAGCACCATTATCTACTCCGTCACCTTAGCTAGAAACCTGGGACTCATCCCCATGACTGCCTCCTTTGTTTCATTCTCCACATCTAATTAGGGTAACATTACTTAGAGTAATGAGGAACTTGGCAGGGTAGTTCTAAGCTGGAGACGCTGTATTTAAATTTTGATTGAAAGTAACGGAAACTAATTCAGATCTTCTTACACACACACACACACACTCTCTCTCTCTCTCTCTCTCTCCCTCTCTGTCTCTCTCTAGCATTTCTCCCAAAAACAAAGAGGCATTTCACAGAGCCTAATGGCAGGCATGGCGCTCGACCTCTTGAGCTGGAAACTTGAGGACCCTTTTCTCTCTCATCTTGTCTTCCCTCTGTACACCTGCATTCTTAGTTTATAGACTGTTGTTCTTTGGTCCACATGACATTTGCAAGGTCCTGATGCCCACGAGTGTACATGTTGCAGGGCCAGCCAATTCAAGGAAGTGGCTCTATCAGTTGGCCAATTGGCTCAGCTAGATTACCTTAATCTACCTGTAGCCAGTGTGGGCAGTGGGGCACACGGAGCTTTCATACAAATACAGCTTTTGGGTACCCACTTCTGTGTCTCTGAGGATGGAGGAAGGCAGGCTTCAGAAATAGTGGGGAACCATTGTGAGCTGGGGAGATCCTCTAGAAGGTTTTTCCTAGAGATGCCAGTGACTCCTTTAGGGACATCAACCATGAGATCTATAACAAGTCAACACTTATTTCCATACTGTTCATTCCTGTGTTTGATGTGTCAGAGTCAGGATCAGTTCATTCCCAGATTAGGAATTCCTTTGAAATAGTACCGTGTTCTCACGTACTTTTTGCATCCCACACAACCTGTTTGATTGTCGTTTATTTTTCTGCATCAGAATTTTGGCCTTAGACTCAACTTCTGGATGGCTGCACAGCTGGTATATGGAGATTTCTTCTACATTTATTACAGTGGGGGAAAGAGATCGATTCTACACCTGTGTCTTCTAACTTATCTCTCTCGTGCCCAGGCTCAAAGCTGAAGGAGATCTTTGACAAGATCCACAGCCTGCTCTCTGGAAAACCAGTTCAATCTGGTGGGCACTCTGTGTCTGTCACACTGAACCCACATGGCCTTGACTTTGTCCAGTACAAACTGGCAGAGAAATTCGTGGTGAGAAACGTTGCCATGGGTGTGGGAACAAGAGGCTGGCACACACCCTTCAAACTTTCTCGAGTAGTAACTGAACAGTGTCCATCTCTGTCTTCCCAGAAACAAGGAGAGGAGGAAGTGGCCTCTCACCATGAAGCAGCGTTTCCCATCGCGGTTGTGGCGTCCGGGATCTGGGAGCTGCACCCGAGAGTAGGGGACCTCATTCTCGCACATCTGCACAAGAAGTGTCCGTACTCTGTGCCTTTCTACCCAGCTTTCAAGGAGGGCATGGCTTTGGAAGACTATCAAAGGTGAAGTTGGTTTTCTCCTTCCTGGCCCTAGGCCGATTCAGGAAATAGAAATAGAATTCGTATTCCCCCTTCTCACAGCTTTTCTGTACCTTGAATGTTCTGTCAGAGAATACAAGGTCTTCCTTGCAAACTTGATAGCTATTGGAATTTTGGATTTAGGTGCCAATAATCAATGAGTTTAGTGGAAAGAAAACTGGATCTAGAATCCAGGGGTCTTGGAGTTTTCTCCCTGCTTTGTAAACATTTAATAGCTTTACACAAATGGGTAATGTCACCTCTTTAAGCATCATCTTCCTTATTCGTGAATGATACGTATGACCTGTGAGTTTATCTCACAGGGCTTATATGGTACATACATTTAATGATGGATATGAGTGTTCTGTCAACAAAGTATTGTACATATATATTAATATGTAATGATGGGGCCGGCCAAGTGGTTCAGTTGGTTAAGAGTTAGCTTAAGAGCACGAGCTCTGAGCAACAGGGCACCGGTTCGATTCCCACAAGGGCCNTTCGTCTTTTGTTATCAGTATAAATTAGAAATATTCTGGCAAAAAGAGTTAAAAATATGGTGGAATATAAAATACCTAAACTAGCATTAAATGGTGAGGCAGATCAGTCGCCGGCTTCTGGCCGCTCACTCTGGCTGCTGGCTACACACGGTACCCGTGGCAACCCACAGCAGAATGGGAAAACGTAGGAATCAACATGTTGATGACTGGTACTCCATTGCTGCAAGAAGTCCAATCCTGGAAATGGGAGATAGGATTCAGCCCCGCAGGGTGCCTGGGGCATAACCACTAAGCCCTGCCTCTGTCCCCCTGACAGAACGGCTTGCCCTCCGCAGAGGACCACGCTGCTGCCGAGAGAGCCCTGCAGGAAATGCGGGACCTTCTTGGGAACTTGCAGCAGGAGGTCGCCAGGGCCTCTGAAGACAAGAGGAGGCAGGATGAAAAGGAGGCCCAGGTAAAGCGGCAGGAGTCACAGAGGCAGCAGGGGCCAGAGGTCCACAAAGAGTCCCCCGCTCCCAGCCAGGGCCCAGGAGGGAAACAGAAGGAAGGTGAGTTTTGGCATGGATACGATCCTTGAACTTGGTGTGAGTTTCAGAAGGTGAAAAGAACAAGAATGTGTTTCGAATATCATGTTCAGCAACAGGACAATTTGCGAGAACTTTTATATAATGTAAAAGTCAGTACTTTTACCCAATTGCATTTAGTTTTGGTTGACATGGAGCCTGACTTCAGATTCCAACATTTCCAATGAGGACTTAATATATAAGAGAATCAGTCTACCATAATGGCTGAGAATGCTGGCCTTGGAGCCAGAGCAGTGGAAATCTAGCTTTTCTGCTTCCTAGCAATGTGACTTTGGCAAATGACTTAACCTTTCCCTGTCTGTTTCCTTATCTATAACACGAAGATAATAATACTATCTACTTCATGGGGTTATTGTGACAGTGAAAGCAATTCACATATACAGAAGGTGATTAGAACAGCACCTGGCTCATACGTGTTCAGTAAATAGCAGCTGTTACTCCTTAGACCTCCAGGTGAAGGTCCAAGACAGTACGATGCAGAGGTACCAGCAGCTACAGGAGACCTCCAACCAGTGTGTGCTGGCCTTTGGGGGACTGACCAGCAGCAAAGACAGTCAGGTAGGAAGGGGCGGAAGCCGGGAATTGTCTGGGTCTGATAGTGCTCTGAACAGCCTTGTGTCCCTAAGGATTGTAGCTAGCGTGTCCCATTCCCTAATCCTAATGGCTTTTCCAAGCACTGTCTGCCTTCTCACTGTTCTCTTCTGGCAGGTCAAAAAGATAAAGATGGACCTGCAGAAGGCGGCCACTATCCCAGTGAGCCAGATCTCCACCATTGCAGGTTGGTCGGAGGAGCTAAGAACATGGCCCTTCACTTCATTTTACTATCTTCTTAAGACTCCAGGTCTACTTATCTGTAAGGGTCCTACAAATACAATAGTATGTTCGAACAAGCATTGACAGGTGGATCAGGTGTGTATAGGTTATATGCATCCTGTTTTACTTCCTTTGTTTCCTCTTCAACACATAGAAGGTAATTATGTATGTTGACTTTTTTTTTTTTTAAGATAAGCTGTTTATTAATAGTAAATTATTTAGGGTGGTTCTTACCCTAAATTCACAGTTAATGCGGAAAACATCACTGAGGGAACCCAGGATGTGACTTCTATTTGCTTTTGTTCTATATTAGCTTTTCCAGACTCAACAGCCTGCTTTTTCTCTCCAGAGACTGAGATTTAGAGAGTAGGAACCGGATGGGAAAGACCCTTCTTCCTCTTCTTTAGAAACAGAGGTTCACTTTTTTTTTTTAATATTTTGCTATGGTTTTAATATTTTATTTTTTTTATTATGAAATTTTTTTTT